AATCGTCCAATTCCTTTCCCAAATTCCCACTAAACTGCCACAGAGTCATGACATTTTTGGTGTTGAGAATTTAGAATCCTCCACTTCCCCTTCCCAATTCCCACCACAGTCATGGAATAAGGGCAGTCCAGGCGTTTAGAATTTCGAATCCTCCAGCTATCCCTCTCAAATTTCCATAGAATAGCGGCATTCTGGGTGTCAGGATTTTTGAATCCTCCATATGCCCTCTTAACTTCACACAAAATCCTTGGAGCAGCGGCATTCAGGGTGTTGGCTATTTTGCATCCTCCAGTTCCACTCCAAATTCCCATGGAATAACAGCCTTCCAAGCATGTGGAATCTTGAATCCTCCCCCTCCTAAACTCCCATGTAATAACGACATTCTGGGTGTCAGGAATTTAGAATCCCCCATACACCCTCCCAAATTCCCACCAAATTCCCATGGAATAACAGCATACCAGGTATCAGGAATTCTGAATAGTCTAGTTATAATCTGGCTAAATTTTTTGGATTTACTAATGTGAGAAAACAGGCTCTTTACAATTTGTAATAGTTTAAGAAGAGATAATAAGGGACAAATTAACAGTGCTGGGTGCGTGGCAGTGGCCAAAAGCACACCTGTTAACTTAAAACTTTCTCATATACTTTGTCATTACATTGGTCAAATGCATATTCATGATGATTATACATATTCAAACATTCATTTGAGTTTACATGTTGCGGGAATTCTTTTGCTTGGTTCGACCCTTGACCTGTCTTCTTAAAGTACATGCCATACTGCAAAAGAAATTCCTATCTTTTATTTCCTCACATGGCCCCCATTCTGTGGTTTGACAGTTCTTGATAGCCCAAGGGTCAGTGGTAAATTCCTCCCTGCATTCTTCCTTTCCATGTTTATTTACCTAGTTCTTTTAAATGTTATCTTATCATACAGATTAAATACTCCACTAGTACATTAAATCAACATTGGCCGTTGCACAAAATTATCTTATTGTCACCAGCGTCAGTTAGTTACACAAATAAAGGCATTAGCTACTTCTGCAACTGTTCATGTTATAATACACAATGCATAGTCTCTAGTATAATATTTTGTGAGAGCCTAAACAATAATATATTTATCACACTAAAATATATAATCTACACAGGGATTAGGGTAAAAAGGCTGACAAATTATACTATGTCAAAAGCAGGTAAAAAGTGATTACAAACTATTCTGTATCAAAACAATTTGCAAACGCCAATATAAAAGCAAAAACCAATGACTACATATTTATTTATAATACTAATTAAAGTGAATTAAAGAATCTTAACAAAATCCAGGCAAATATTACATGAGAAATAATTGAATCCCCCTTCCTAAACCATGAGGGGGTAGCCATGGACCGCAAATAGGGCATGAATAAAATACAGAAAAGCTTTCTATCAGCTCTCAAACTAACGTACTGTTGAATTTCATGCCATAGGTCTTAAGAGAGTATTTTAACTTTGTCTCACTTCTCCTATTTATGCCAATCAATGCAGTGACTACAACACATTCTATGATACACATGCTTCTCAGTTGTGGGTGCAACATGAAAGGCAATTTACGCATTGAAATTCGAAAGAAAAAAAAAGCCTACCAAGTGTATCAAGAAAAAGTAGTGAATATTTACAGATTCCAAGTATGCATGTGGGGTGGGACATGAGTTTGGAAACGGGGAGGAGAGAGGTTTGTTAACTTGCAGGGGAAAAGGTCCACTCATGAGAGCTTAATTACTCACTTGTTGGAGGTGGTGAATTTCCCAAGAGAAATAAGCATAGGAGCTATTAAGGGACTTCCGGCAGGGTACTCAGAAGAGACAACAGGTAATCAACTAGCCAGTGGAGATACCCAGAAAGCAGCACTTCTGCCAGAGGTCTCTGGAATCTGCCCTTTGCTCCACGTGGCTCTGCTGTTGCCAGGGGGAGGGGGGAAGTGGATAGTGGTGGTGCCTTTTCCACCAGAGGAGCTGGAGATAATTAAAGGTGGTGGGGCAGAGAAAAGAGGAGAGAATTGATTTACAGAGGACAGTAAACACTGGGTGGATGCCAGGAGCTTGACCCTGCAAATATTGGGACTGCACCATGGGAGTCCTTGGGGCTCTGGAGGATTGACACAGACCTTCTTCAAGATGTAGTGCCTTGGGTCGTTTTGTTTTAGTAAAGCGAGCTATTGAGGGGTGCTTGGATAAAGTTAATAGCCAGAGTACAAAGGAGATTGCGAGACAGGGAGACGATCTTGGACGCAAGCACCTGGTTTGAAACACTACTCTGGAATATGAGCAGCCCACATCCTCCACAATTCTCTGTCCCCTGAAAGGAAAAGCTCCAGAGTTCCTGGTCAAGATTTTGTCCATTCGCAAAAGCACTTGCTTGTGACCTCTATGTATGACCAGCAGACATGATGAGCTGATTGCTCCAGCAATACCCTCCGGGAAAGCCTTTTTTCACCTCTAGATCACTCTCTT